AGCTGCTGGCCATAATATTATGACTGAAACTGGCAGTCATGCAGTAGTTTGCTGTTTCTAGTAATTGTTGATTGATTATTTAATTTGTTATGTGGTTAGAACCACTATCAATCCATATTATACTTCACTTGCATGTACGTGTATAATAATACTGTAAAGTGTAAAATCTTCCTCTCTATCACAATGTTCCTCATTCCCATACAATACAGTGTATCTTCTATATATTAATTGCTTTAGTGATTGATGGTTGATGTGTTTATATTGCGGTTTGACAATTTTTGTCTTTAATGGCAGCTCAAGTTACAAGTGTATCATCTGCTGCATGTTTATTGGCATATATGTACATGTACATGTGTAATACATTATAACCTAAGTGACTTTGAGATACATATGTACATGTACCGTATAGGGGTTTTATTTTGTTGGTATAAATTTTCGCAAATCTTACCTTCTGCAGCCATTTTTACTAGTGTGCCACACCTCTTTTGTGGAATTTAATTTCGCAAATTTAATGAAAACGTGAAATTCACGAAATGTATTACCAGTGAAATATAACCCTTATACGGTATATTATTGCACTGTTCATGTATGATTGTTCTTTCTGTGTAGACACGTTGATAAGAGATGGCAAAGCTTATGTTGACAACACTCCGGGTGAAGTCATGAAGCAGGAGAGGGAGAGCAGGATGCCTTCAAAGTGTAGGGACAGATGTAAGCAAGTTTGAGACATGTTGCAACATGTATCTAATATCTTTGATTCTTTGTACTACATGTATGTAGCATTTGAGTACATGTACTTGTATATGTACAGTGCATGTACATGCATATGCATAGATGTTTTTAAAGTTATACAGTGGAACCTCTGATAATGAAACTTCTCTTTAACAAAAATCTCAATGCAATGAAAAAATTTTAATGCACCAACTTTATTTCCTATTAATTAAAAAACTTCTCTTTAATGAAAATTTCCATGTAATAAAAAAAATTGTCATCCAAAAGTTTTGTTATTCGGAAGTTCCACTGTATATTGATTAAATTATGCACTGTATTGCTTGTTGCAGCTGTTCAAGATAATCTCAATATGTGGGAGGAGATGAAGGCGGGGTCTGAAGCTGGTCTCCAGTGTTGCTTACGTGCTAAGATTGACTATGCCTCTGATAATGGCTGCATGAGGGACCCAGTACTGTACAGGTGTAAGCTGGAACCACACCCACGAACCAAAACTAAATACAAGTGAGTCATATAGCATCTAATTCATTATATATACATGTATTTTTCTCATTCCTTTTTCTTTCATTCACTTTTCTTCCTCCTCTCTCTCCCCCTTCTCTCTCCCTCCCTCCCTCCCCTTCTCTTCCCTATAGAGTGTATCCTACATATGATTTTGCTTGTCCATTGGTGGACAGTATTGAAGGTGTTACTCATGCCCT